GGCCACCCCGAAAACCCTTATACCCCTTCAAACCCCCCCAAACGCACTAAACCCAAACGCCCTAAACACTAAACCCTGAACCCAAACGACCCTAAACCCTAAACCCAAAACCCAAACCCTAAACCCTAAACCCTAAACCCTCAGCACAAAGCGGAAAGGGAGGTCTCCTCGTCAAAGGAGCGAAAGACCTCCTCTTCCCATCGATCCTTCTCCTGGACAGCAAGGGCCGGACATGCTTTGCTTAGGGATTGGGGGTTTCGGGACGAAAAGTCCCCTAAACACTACACCCTAAACCCTGAGTCTGAAGGTATGTCCCCAAAAAGGCCCCCAAAACCCCAAGGAGGCTAGGGCCTGGCTAGGGTTTAGGGTTTAGGCAGTTCTCTAAATTAGGTTCCCGTTTTGGGTCCCATTACGGCACTTTCTGAGAAAGGACATAGGGTAGGGTGTTGAGGGTTTAGGGTTGCGGGGTTGGGGGGGAGGGGGTGGGGCGGGGCTCCAATACCCCAAACGTCGGCCCAAGCCCTAAACCCTAAACCCTAAACCCTAAACCCTAAACCCTAAACCCTAAACCCTAAACCCTATAAATTCGACATGGGGGCCTCTTTCTCCCACTTCTCGATGGTCTCACGGTTCTGGGAGTCTAGCCTCCATTGCCTCGGCTTCGTGTCTCTTTGGGTGGTTTCATGGTCACGTAATATGGGCCCTGATTTGGGGAGACTCCCATTGTTCGGGTTTAGGGTTTAGGGTTTAGGGTTTAGGGTTTAGGGTTTAGGGCTTATGGGTTTCTACGATGTATGGCAGGAGTAAGGGGGTCTGAAGGTTGGTTTTCGGGTCCCATGCTCAGAGGATACAAGAGCACATTACCGCAGGAGCTGGGTCGGGGTGTCAGCGCAGCTGCTCGTGATAAGACTTTCTTTTTCTTAGGATAGTTGCATGGTCCCATTAGTATGGGCCCTTAAGTGGGTACCCCTTGTATACCCCTCAGTTACCCTATATATATATATATATAGGGCTCATCCATCAGAACCCTTGCAAGGAGGCTAGGGACCATACTAAGGGCCCATGAAACTACCCTCAGATCTTTTGGGTGCCAGCGCTATGGCTATGGTTTTCCCAAACCCCAAGCCGGTTAGGATGATATAATGAGAAAATTAGGTGCCACCCGGCCCCCCACTCAGAAACCAAGAAGAACTACAATTAAGGATACAGGTCTCAGAACTGCACAGTTGTGTTTTAAATGGGGGTTGGGGTTTACGGCCTTAAGCCTAGACAAGGTTTACGACATAAGGCTTCTTTTATTTGTAGTGCTGCTATAAAGGTGCCTAGCTGCTGAAATCAAGATTTTGGCGGCCTTTTGTTGGAACCCCAAAGTACAAGCTTTCATGGAGAGCTTCTAAGCCAATTCTCATGTACATAGGCTCTAAACCATGAGTCCTAAACCCTAAACCTGAATCCTAAACCCTAAGCCCTAAACCCTAAGCCCTAAACCCTGAGTCCTAAACCCTGACATGATTGTTGTTTTATCAGATTCTTGGCATCCCAAAGACCCCGCAACCCCAGTTCCCTCAAAGCAATGTTCGGGTCTGATCTCGCCAGGCCGCGCATGCTCGCCCTGCTTGAGCATCTCCTGCTTGAATTCCTCCGCAGGCCAACCCTAAACCCTGAAACCTTACACCCTCGATAGCTCAGAGGTTTCAGAGGCTTGGGGTTTTGGGGTCGCGGTATTTGGGGAGTTCGGGGGCCCCCCCCCCAAGAATTCTGTGGGAAATTCAGAGGACAGAGTTCCCCATAGCTGGGTTTAGGGCTCAAATTCGTAATTAGGGCCTATGGCTTAGTAGGGAATAGGGTTTAGGGTTTAGGGTTTAGGGTTTAGGGTTTAGTCCTGGGGATGACTTAAATGCTGAGGGTTCCGGTGGCTTGAGGTGTATGGTGGCCGGAGGTCCGCAGGGCGTCAGGGCTCAAGGGCCTTTAATCCCTAACGCTAGGGTTTAGGGTTTAGGGTTTAGGGTTTAGGGTTTAGGGTTTAGGGTTTAGGGTTTAGGGTTTAGGGTTTACAGACCCAAGTCCTAAGCCAAACTTGCCGCCCTTTCGGGCTGCGTTTTTTCGGGGGTGCGGCCTCCTTGACTGGCTTTCTGGCATATTTTGCGCGTTTACAGGGAGTTTGGGGTTGAGGGGTTCGGCTTATAGGGTTTATCTATGGATGGGACCACACAGGAATTCAGTCACCCTCAGCTTTCAACCCGAAACATCCCTAAAGCCTCATTCTGCAACTGCCGGGGCTTCGTGTTCCGGGCTTGCTTTCGTTGTTTCCCCCCCCCCCCCCCCCCCCCTCCCGTTAGGATGAAGGGTCCCCTTGAAGGGGTGGGAAGGGGCTAGGGAGTGTTCGGGAGGTTACCCTAAGCCATAACCCCTCAACCCTAAAACTGGTTTGGGAAGGATTTAGGGGCTGAACATGCGACCCGGCAAACACCCAATTGTTTCCGGTGAAGCTTCACGAAGGAGGATAAGGGGTCAGGGTTTCAGGGTGATAGAGCTAAACCCGCACCCCCCCCTGAAACCCTAAATATTAAACTTCAGGCTTGAAAAAAAGACTTGGCAGACCAGAAGCCATACTGTAACCTTGAACACAAAAAAACCCTAACCCCTAAACCTTAAAGGGGAAAAGGGCACCACTGGGCCACCAAGAAATGTGCAGGGACCACTTACTGTTGGCTACTAGGGAATGAGGGAATGAGGGTACCCTATATATATATATATATACATATATATATATATGTCTTAAAGGGTATATATATAGGGTACCCAATATATATATATATACATAAATAGATGTATACCCTTTAAGAGACTATACAGGGTGCCCTCTAGAGTAGGACCAGGGCCGTCCTGGCGCTTCTTCTGGCGCTCGTCCTCGCGCTCCTGGCCAGCGGACAAACGCGGGTGGAGCCTCAACCTCTCAACCCCCACGAACCTCCCCTAACTCCGAAGCCCTACACCCTAAAGCCCTAAAAGGGTTTAGGGTTTAGGATTTAGGGTTTAGGGCTAAACCCTAACCCCTAAACCCTATATAAACCTCGCCAGACCCGCCAACCCCACGCATTCAGCCCCCTCCCCGCCCGCGAAGTCCCAGGAGCCGAAGCGGCCAACACCCCGAAGCCTGAATCCCTGCCGCTCCGGACCCTAAATGCCTATACAGCCCCGAAATTAACACCCTAAAGTTTAGGGTTTAGGGCTTAATCAGGAGTTAGGAGTTTAGGGTTTTGGGTTTAGGGTTTAGGTTCTGAACCCGACTGACAACAATCTTTGTGAACATTTGTCCGGTGCTATAACTCCCTACCCAGAAGCCTGTAAGTCCCCAAAAGCCCCTACTTACAGCTACCCTGGACTTTCACACTGACAATGAGAACCCTCAACAGGGCAGTCAGGCGTTGCCAATCGCGGACAAATATCAACGTCAGGCCCTCCTTGACGACGTAGGAAGAAGGAAATCCCCACACCGATCGCTCTAGTGGAGCTGGAACTGTGTTGGCGTATTCCAGCTCCCAATCATCGAGCATTGTGGTGAAAAAGGTATCCTTGGCGAAGATCTTCACCGGGGTGCTCTTCTGCAACGTTTCGACGATGTGCACTTCAGCTATCAGAGACAGACCCTGCCCCAAACTCTAAAGCCCCAACAGCCCTTAAAACGCCTAAAGCCCCCCAAAACCGCTACACCCCCTAGGGCCCCAAAAGCTGCTAGAACCCCTACTTGAAGGCTCATGGTACTAATCAACCAATTAGAACTGTACATACAAGGCACTTAAGGGTTTTATACGTCGGTTATAAGTACAGTTCTAAGCGCTTCATGAGTACCATGAACCTTCAAGTAGAGCCCCTAAAACCCCGAAAGCCCCGAAAGCCCCTAAACCCTAAACCCTAAACCCTAAACCCTAAACCCTAAACCTTAAACCCTAAACCCTAAACCCTAAACCCCTAAAAAGGCGGGGGCATGATGGGGGTCCTGGAGCACCTTCAGCGCCTCCTGGCGTCTTGCGCGCAACTCCGCCTCGCAGCAAGCGAAGGACGCGTAATTTGGGGTGACCATGTAGGGTTTAGGGTTTAGGGTTTAGGGTTTAGGGTTTAGGGTTATATACATACACATATTACAGATATGTTTATATATAAGAGCAATCTACACGTATATATATATATATATGTCACGTCTATGGATACACTTTTGTACTTGTCCTTGGGCGATTGCAGGGCAAAGGTGGTTTCAAGACAAAAGGGCACGCACAGGCACTGAACAAACTCAAAACTCTACCAGACCGAACCTCACACCTTACACCCTTTCAACCTAAACCCTAAACCCTAAACCCTCAACCCTCAACCCTAAACCCTAAACCCTAAAAAGACGACTTTGCAGCCTGAACAATCCCTAAACGCCCCGCGCCTTGCTTGGATCTCAGGGTAGCTATATGGGCCCCTAAAGGCTAAACCCTAAACTAAATCTTAATGTGGTCCCTTACCTCCTTTCAAGGGTTCGGAAGTATTGGCCCTTGGGTTGTATTGGCCATATTAAGGGTAGACAAGGGGTCCCCCTTTAAGGGCCAGACTAAGGGCCCATGTCTTGACCTCTTGGTTTGACCTCTTGCACCCGGGCACCCTACATGAAACTAATCCCGGGATAAGGGGTGTTGAGGTTCTCCACCCACCCCCCTTAAATTGCACCATATTCCCCAGCGTACTAGAACGAGGGCGGGAGGTTAACCTGAACGCACGCACTTGTTCTTTGGAAGGCCGATACGTTCCCCCGACCGCGTCCGCTTGGCGGAGGCAGTTGCGGCGCGTGGCAGCACAAGGTTTTCCGATCAACTCTGCCTGAACTTTAAACATCAGGTCCGTAAGGTTCGAAGCCCTAAACCCTTGAACCCCAAAGAAAGCTGGAGGCCTAAAGCGGCTAAATCCTGAGCCCTAAACCCCAAAACTTTCTAAACCCTAAGCCCTTGGGCCAAGCCGGCTCAGAGTCGGTACTTTGTCTTTGGCATCTCTCCTTGGCTGGCATGGCTCAGGCGGAAATGTGACGAACTTTGCTTCAAGAGATAGAGATCTCTCTATGCAAAACCCCCCATCCCCCCACCCTCAAAAAAACAACAAAAGATCCCCAACCTCTCAAGCCCATGGGCGCCAAAACCCCCAAAGGCCCCACTCTGAGCTTTAAACCCTAGTTGCCCCCGCCTTCAACCATACGCTTACTCCAAACCCTAACCCCCTCCCAAACCCCAACCCACAAACAACACAGCCGAAAGAGTGTTCCGAAATTCGGGAATGAGAATGAGGAACACCTACCTATAATCTAAACCCTAAATCCTAAAAAACTCACCTGGGCCTAAACCCTAAACCCCAAACCCCAAACCCCAAACCCCAAACCCTAAACCCACCTGGGTCCAAGGTTCGTGGGTCCACGGTTCGTAGGTGCTTCAGCGCCGTGGCCGTGGTTTGGATCGAGGCGAACTGTGTTGCCCTGGCGACCAGGCCTCAGGAGTTTGGGCTTAGGGTTTAGGGTTTAGGGCTTGGGGTTTAGGGTTTAGGGTTTAGGGTTTACGGTCTAGGGTTTGGGGTTTAGGCCCAGATAATGTTCTTAGGGCTTAGGGTTTAGGATTTTAAGTGCCTCAGAAGCCTTTTCAGGAGCTTCCGGGGCTGCGTCGCTTCGGACTTTTGGCGCCTTCGGGGCCATTTCGGTGTCGGATCTCGGGAAATTTCCGGACTTTTCGGGTTTGGGGGTTTAAGGTATCGGGGGTTAGTTCGGGTTTAGGGTTCAGGGTTTAGGGTTTAGGGTGTAAACCCAAAACTGCTCAACCGACTAGTTCGCTGCTTGGGTCCCCGAACCTCCCCCAAAACGGGCACCTAAACATTCTCTACCCTAAAACCGCAAGCCCTAACCCCGTTTAAAGGATTAGGCCTTGAATGGAGGCCAAAATCCAAACTAGGTCTCAAATTGATACCACTCTCTCTCGGCCAGACCTTTGCTTCCACTCCACCGCACTCCACTCAGATTGAACCCCAAATTATCCCCAGCAAGCCCCAAATTAAGCCCCAAATTGAACCCAAAAACTAAGCCAGGAGGCCCCACATTAAGCACCAAATTAGGGTCCGGGAAGCCCTGGATTAGGCCCCAAACCGAGCCCCGGGAGGCCCTTGAAAATACGCCCCAAATTACGGCTTCCGCCGTGGATCTCAATGGTCAGCGGCTCCGCCTTCACCTTCCACAGCCGAGAGCACCCCGGAGGACAGCCCGGTCGCAGCATCGAGCGCAAGGGGTGGAGTCCAGCCCTAAACCCTAAACCCTAAACCCTGAACCCTAAACCCCAAACCCTAAACCCTAAACCCCAAACCCTAAACCCTAAACCCCAAACCCGAAACCCTAAACCCTAAATCGATATTGCAGCCACCCTGCTCTCGGAAACTCCACCGTGTCGCGAAGAGGTCATCCATCGTTTCTGCGATGTTCTGTGCTGCTTGGCCCAAGTCGCCAGCCCTAAACCCTATAAGTCTCACCTGCTGGGGGCCAGTACTTTAGGAGAGGTTTTGGGGGGCCTACACCCCTGAAACCTCAACCCCAAACCCCAAGCCCTGCCTTAAAGGGCTGGGGTTTTAGGGTTCAGGGTTCAGGGTCGAGGGCTTTGGAATCCCAAGCCTTCTGCACCGAATCCTAGAAACCCTAAGTCCCAAATCTCCTAGACCCTGAAATCGAGGCACCCTAAACCCGAAACCCGAAAACCTACATTCTCAACCCCCCGAAACCCTAGCCTAAACCCTAAACCCTAAACCCTGAACCCCTAGGTCCAAGCAGGCGGCTGCTGATGGGAATGTGAGTTTGCACCGACAGGTCCGTCACGTGAACGGCCTGGCTCAGGAGCGGCTTAAACGTTTCAGGCTTCGGGGTGGTTTAGGGTTTAGGGCTTCTGGTTTAATTTGGCTTCGGGCACCTAGCCCTGAAAGCTTAAACACGCCCCCCAGTCCTCTAAACACCCTCAACGTAACCGCTTTCGGATGGAGGAAGCACCCCAGGACTTCAGGGGCCATGTGATCTTCGCCTTGGGATGCTCCCACTTAGGGTTTAGGGTTTTGGGTTTAGGGTTTAGGGTTTAGGGTGGGATCATATTTGGGGGAACTATAGTCCCTAGTAAGGACTGCTAGTATCAGGGGGGAAGATCCGGATCTTCGCCACAAGAGGCACTGTGTCGAAGCCTACGGCTCTCCGTGCCATGGCGAGCCCCAAACCACAAACCCAGCCTGGTCCTAGTTTAGGGTTTAGGGTTTAGGGTTTAGGGTTTAGGGTTTAAGGTTTAAGGTTTAGGGCCTACCCTGGAGCGGCAACAATACCGAAAGACTAGACATAGCAAAGCCATTCTTGCATACTGGCCGGTACTGACCCATATTGATGAAACGAAAACATCTAACAATGCCACAGGTGAGAGAAATAATGAGACCAACAGAGCAAAAGATCTGTTAGATGAGCATGACCAGCAACTACTCTAATGACTCTGCAAATATCAACACCAACAATAAAGGTCATGCACACAGTATAAGCAAACGTGAACACTCGCAAAACAACACATAGGATTGCTGCAGGCATACACAGTAGTCATAACCAAACGTGCAACAATCTACATACTAAGAACACAAATATCACATAAGTTATACGCACAATAAATACACAAACGATGAAGATCCACAAAGCAACATGCAAGGTTACCAACTAGCAGTCATAAAAAGTAGTTACAGCCACACATACAACTACCGTAGTGACTGCCAGCCACCTCATCTCTCAACCCTAAACCCCAATCCCTAATCCCTAAACGCCAAATGCTAAACCCTAACCCCTAAACCCGAAACACCAAATCCTCCACAAGAAACCTGGAAACGCACAGCCGGATATTAGAGAGGCGATCCTCCTCATCCAGTGTTTCGATGGCGCCCACTAGAAGGATCCCCAGAATCCTGAGACGCAGAACATTTAGTAGCGGCTGGGGTTTAGGGTTTAAGGTTTAGGGTTTAGGGTTTAGGGTTTAAGGTTTGGGGTTTAGGGTTCAGTGCCCGATTGTGTGGTGTAAACCAAGAACATTCAACCCTAAACCCATCTGGGCACCCCTTCAGGCGAGCCTGGAAGGTTCATCCGGGTACTGTAGCTGGACCCTTCGGGAGCCAGAAGACCCAAACGCGTCCCTAAACTCAAAAACCCCACCCAAAACCAGCAGGAGGAGAACTGAACAATTCGATGAACCCTCAAAGCCTGCAACAATAAAGCCTAAAGCCTAAACTCCTAAACCGCCCAACTCCTCAATTCTGCCCCCAACCCGGCAAAACCCTCAGCTCAGAAAACCCTCAGCTGCAGGTAGGTTTTGGAGCTTAGGGTGTAGGGTAAGCCCCGAACCCTAAACTCGAGCTATCAGGAGGAGCTGAAAGGGGTCGCTAAGCTGGGCTGTCAGGTTTAAAACGCCTTGGGGTTCACGAAGGCAACCTCACCCCGATTATAGAACGGCCTGTATTTGCAGGCGGGAGTCGGAACGCTAAGCGCCAACCCGAAACCCCCCCCAAGCTTTGGCTTCAGGGTTTAGGGTTTCGGGGATGCCCTAAACTTTAAACCCTAAACCCTAAACCCTAAACCCTAAAACCGAACCCCAATCCACCAGAGCCAAACAACAAACTCTAACCAGAGGGAGAGCAACAACACTTCTCGACCGTAAGCCTTAACCCTACACAACACCCTTGACCCACAAAATCCCAAAGCCCTGAAACCCTAGCCCCAGACTTTGTTCTACCGCTAGGGAGGCGCGGCCCAGTGTCTTGAGGTAGTGGCACAAGGCACCGCCGAAGTTCGTCGCCAAGGAGCAGAACCTGAACCAAAACGCCTAAACCCTCAACCCTTTTCCCTAAGGCTTCGGTTTTAGGGGTCTTGGGACCGAGAATCCTCAGTGGGGCAGGGCTTCAGGGGTTTAGGGTTTTGGGTGCTTGGGTTTGCGCTGCTGGTCTCTAGGGCCTACGGAGTCTGAGTAGGGATTCGGGGGCGGAGGCAAACCCCAGAACACGGCATCAAGGGTTGTAGTTTGCGAGTGGGAAGATCAGGGCCCCAAACCCCAAACCCCAAACGGGATTAGGATTTAGGGTTTAGAGGGCTTAGGGTATAAACAAACCCTAAACCCGAAACCCTAAACCAAACCCTAAACCCTAAACCCTAAACACTAAACCCCATAAACCCCCAGTCCTAAACCCAAACCGAGAATGTGCCGCGCAAAAGCTGCTCGCAGTCGATACCGTTGTAGTAGCCTAGGCCGATTCAGACTTTGGGGTGAAGATTAAGGTTTAGGTTTAAGGGTTTAGGGTTTAGGGTTTGGGGCTTAGGGTTCTTCGGGGTTTAGGGTTTAAATAGGGCTTAAGGTTTAGGAATTCCTAAGGTTGCCAAGAGAACCTACAGCATATGAATCACCCCTTAAATCCCGAAACCCTAAAACCCATGAACCCGAACATGCCAGGCCTATGAAACCCTAAACCCCTAACCCGGAAACCCTGAAATTTGAACGTGCCAGGCCTGTGAGCCCCTGTTTTACCCAGGTCACTGGGGCCGATCGCGCTAAGCCCGAGCCCTAAAGCCCTAGACTCCCTTCACCACCCAGAAGTCCAAGTTTAGGGTTAAACCCTAAACCCTAAAACCCTAAAACCGTGAAACCCTAAAACATTAAAACCCTAAACCCTAAACCCTAAACCCCAAAAAGACCCTAAATCTACTGGACTGGACCCCGAGACTCTAGACCCTGATCTTTGGCAAGCTTCGGTGCTCACACTGACCCATCCGAGAGCCTCTCACGCTTGAACTGGGCCCAACCAATGTGGCGCTTGCGAGAGATTCCGAAACCCTAAACCCTAAACCCTAAACCCTAAACCTTAACCCTAAACCCTAAACCCTAAACCCCAAACCCTAAACCCTAAGTTCTGGATGGCCACCAGTGGCCTTGCCTGGCTCCATCATCACCCCGTTGAGGGCTGGGAACCCGTCATCTCGCAGGGCTTGATGACGGTTTAGGTTTTAGGGTTTAGGGTTTAGGGTTTAGGGTGTTCTCGGCCTTTGCTTTGCCACGCCCTCGACCTCGCCCACGCCGTTTGCCCTTACAGGGAGCCTCCTTGGACCCTTAAGGTTGTAAGGCTGGGTTTTGGGGCCCTTTTTAAGGATCCCTAAGATACGATAAGGGCCAATATTAAGGGTAACCTTTAGGGGTACAACCTTAGGGGTACGCGTCTTCATCCCTTGCATTGAAACCCTGAAATCGACAGCCCAACAATCTTAAACTTCTAAACCTTTCGTCTCCGACTCTCTCACCCCTAAACCCCTAAGTTTAGGATTTAGGGTGTAGGGAATAGGGCTAAAAGCCCTAAGGGTAGAGCCCTGGTAAATTCCTTGCCAAGCTTCACAAGCCGTAGTTGGCCGTGAGGCGCCCGCGATGGGTCCACCCTGCCCACAGCGCTGGCAAGCAAAGCACCTGAGCTGTTCAAGCTTTGGGTTTCTGTGGGGACGAGAGGATGTAGGACTTGGAGGGTTTAGGGTTTCAGGTTTTTTAACCTAGGGACTCAAGGGCTTTAGCTTAAGGGGGTTTTGGGGGGGCCTTTACAGGGGGTCTAGGGGGGGAGGCTTGTATGACAAGTCCACGGTCCATGTGGCTGTTTGCCTCAGACTTCCTGCAATCCTTTGGTGCTGTCAGCACGAAACAATGTGGGGGTTTCCGAAATTAGGGGTTTGGGGGACTATATTTGGGTGCCCTACTTTTCGGAAACCCCCATGTGCATCTCGGATCTTTCTTGAAAAGATGCCACACCTGTCAATAGTCAGGTGAGGAGGGCAGTACTTCGCACCACCAAAGCCCGATCAGCTCTACTCATCCAGAAACCCTAAACTCTAAGCCGCCCCAACCCCTAGAACCGAATATAAGGGCCTTAAGAATCACAATAGGATTTGGGGGGATATGGGGGGTACATTTATCAAGGGACCATAGGGGAATATTACTCGTGATTTTTGCGATCCCTATATTACCTCAGGCCCTACTCCTGACTGCATGGACCCCCCCCCAAATCCCAAAACACTCTGAACCCTCTTCTCACCCCAAATCCCCAAAAGCCCCTAAACCCTAACCCTAGACCCTAAACCCTAGATTATAGACTCTCCCCACCCACTTGGCCGAAAAGTTCACAGGGCGAAGCGACAGACGAAGCTGCCGACGCTCTCACGGGCGGTTTTTCCAGATTCTGGGGTGGATTTTGGGCTCCCTAAAAGTTCTAAAGGGTTTAGGGTTTAGGGTTTAGGGGTTCAGCAGCCCACAGAATTCAGAATTCAATGTTATGTCAAAATCCACCCCAGGATTTGCCTAACTCTACGATAGCTGTTGGAAGGCACGCCACCCCCCCAATCCCGGGAGGTACATCCACTACGATGCCCAGTAGCTAAGACGAAAATTGGGGGGGGGGGGGGGGGGGGGCCTGCTTGGTTTTAAAGCCTACTAAATAAGGGACGAGGCATCCGAGTCCAAGGACTCCTCCGAAGGAAGGGCATGAGGGATCGAGCGTAGGGTTTAGCAACTCAGGGTTTAGGGTTTAGGGTTTCGGGGCTTAGGGAATTAGGGGCTTTCAGGGGTTTGCAGGCTGTGAAGAATGGATGCAGTATGAAAGAGGCCGTGCATCTTCTCCAAAGATGTTGACCACTTGAAGGTTCACAGTACTTATTAACCACTTATAACCGTACTTATAACCGCATTAGGGCACTTAAGGGTTATAAGTGGGTAATAAGTACAGTTAGAATTGGTTAATAGGTACCCTGAACCTCCAAGCAGGCTCTGTGGCTGCGGTCCTTTGCATGCATAGCCCCAAGGCTGCCTGTAGACTTGTCACGCATCGCCAAGCTACTTGGCACCAAATCATAAACCCGACCTAATCAGCAGCGAGGATTCACCGCCCCAAGCCCTAAACCCGAAATCGAACCAATTGCTGCTCTTGACAACGTGGCAAAGCCAAAGCTCTTTCATCAGACGGCTTTGCAGCCACGAGGGCATGCACTGCACAATGTGCCGTCGAGTGCGAATTTACCAACTTCTTTGAAGTTTCATATGGGGGTGTACGATAATAAGGGACCCCTAATATAGACCCCCAGAATCCCTTTTAACAAGGACCCCAACAGAGGTACCCCCAAATATCGTAAACACCCCGGCCCGTATGCCTTTCTGAGATCACTTGTTGTCACACAGACGTGACCTGAAAGGTCTTTGCAGTTATGCATGCAACAACATGTCCCGTGGGAATGGGCATGTTGAATTCGGTGCTGTCTCCGGGGCATCAGAAACCAAGCCTGTCCAAAAAGTTCAGCCTAGCAACTCGGGATCCGGATATCAGCACCCATGATCTTCCAACGGGGCTGCAATTGATTGGGAATGCCATCTTGGATGCATGATAAGTCTTACGGGGAGCTCTGCGAATCTCTTCGAGCCCGTGATCGCCTCTCAGCCCTTGTCGACGGACGTTGGGAACCTCTGCGTCGAGGGCGGACGTTTGGAACCGTCGGCTGAAGGTTCACAGCAGGCATCATGGGTCTTGTCTTCTTCGAGGTATTGGTGGCAACACGCTGGGCTTTCGTCACTCCGTCCCCCGCGCTGGGCAGCGCTGGCTGGGAGATCGTGCGGTCTGTTTGCTCCCTTGCCATCAAGGCAGAGGCCACCTGTGGAGACGCCATCACCGGCTTTTTGTCTGGGTGCATGAGGCCTCCGCAGCAGCACTTCTCCATGTTCGCTGGCAAGCGCTGCACATGCGGGTGTACGATGCCCACTTGCTGCGAGCCCCCGACCGGGGTGGTGAGCATGCGAGTGCGCGATGCATCCTGAGATCTTTGCGCCGCGCTGGCGCCGGCGCAAGTGCTGGTGCTGACGCAACCCACACCGGCATAGCCCTTGTTTGGAAAGCATGCGAAACCACTCGGGAGGTAGCAAAAGCCCTGTTGGAAGCCGGTGAAGCGCTGAGGCATGTGGTCCGACACATCCTGGCTCGCCATCGTGGTGACTGTGGTGCTCAGCGTTGGGGACTGCGCCGTCGGCATGCCCTGCACCCCCCCCCACCCCTAAACCCTAAACCCTATAAACCCTAAACCCCTAACCCTAAACCCTAAACCCCTAACCCTAAAACTTACCCCACACCCCTCATCCCCAAAAAAGGGATCCGAGGGTCCTTCGCTGCGGAGGCCGAGGGAGCCGGTTGTGTGAGCCACTGGCTGCCGATGCCTTTCATTTAGGGTTTAGGGTTTAGGGTTTAGGGTTTAGGGTTTAGGGTTTAGGGTTTGGTAAAAACTCAGATTCCCTATTTACCCTTAATCAGGAAGAGTATCTGGTGTTTTTTCGGGTTTCTTAAGCAATTTGTAGTTTACTAGTAACCTAGGGATAAATTGGTTTTAAGGGGAATACAAGGGAACCCCAACCCTAAAAAAACAAAAAGGGCCCACTCCCGGTCCTAGTTAAAGCAACTCCTGGTGCTCCCCCCTTGATGTTGAACCATTAGGAGTCAATGGCTTAAAGTATTCCCGGTGGGTAAACCCTAAACCCTAAACCCTAAACCCTAAACCCTAAACCCTAAACCCTATACCCTAAACCCCATACTAATTGAGCCAAGATTTGCTCGCGGCCGGTGGAGCCACGGTGTCCGCGGATTGCGCCTCAATGGAAGCCCAGGTTTCCTCGTCGTCGGTGTCCGGCCAAGTCACGGGCAGTTCTTCTGCGGCGCTTTCCTTAGGGTTTAGGGTTTAGGGTTTAGGGTTTAGGGTTTAGGGTTTAGGGTAACTTGTTGGTATTTGTTGTGATAATACTACTGGGGTGGGAATTGAAACCGTTTCCATTTCCTGCCTGACTTTACCGGAGAAGAAGGTCGAACCTGTGGGTCTCAAGGGCTTTGCGTACTCAAAACAGAGGTTCAAGGATGGTCCAAGCTTGCCTACTGAACAGATAGGCTTCTGGCCCGCGCTGGTCTCCAAGTTCGGCGCCGGAAGCTTGCGAGACGGGCTCGACATAAGCTTTCGAGCCACGCTCGAAGTTGACATCCTCGGTAGCCCAAAAAACCAAATTATGTAATGAGGGCACCTCTTTTTTTGGGGTCGGGGTTACTTTATAAGGGAACCCATAAACCACAAAAAAAAGGGTAAAGGGTACCCTTTTTGGGGTCGGAGTGACTTTATAAGGGAATCCCATAAACCACAAAAAAAAAAGGGCAAAGGGTACCACTGGGGCTACTCCAAGCATCGGTGAGCTCGAAGGGCGGGAAGCCGGAGAAGCTGCGGCTGCGACGGAGAGCGCACTGCGAGGTAGGAGGCTTGGCATCGAGGTTGAGGAACACCCCCTGCAAGGGAGGAAGGCGCCTTTGCATGAAAGCCATGGTTGAAATGGTTGTGAGCAAACACGGCTGCGCGACTCAAAGACCATGACCTCGAACGTTCAGGGCTTCGGGTTTCGGGTCTAGGGCATAGGGTTTAGATGGGTTTAGAATCTTGGTGTCAGAGTGGGAAGTGCAATCATATCCGCCCTGAACTGGACCTTGAACACCACCATAACTCTAAGCCCTGAACCCTCAAAACCCCCAACGCCCCAACGCTGAAAACTGAAAGCCTCAACCTTCAACCAGCTTGCCTTGGCAGCCTCAGAATCACCAGGGTGCCCTTTGCTCTTCGAAATAGGTAACCCCGGACCCTGACCCTAAACCCCGAGCCCGAAACCCTAGGGTTTAGGGGGTAATTAGGGTTTAGGGCACGATGCCGTAGGGAACTGGCCACATGGGCTTCCTCCAAATCACCTTCGTACTGCTAGGTCTTTTGCAGGCTGGCACGCCCACTCACAACTCAACCTTAGAAACGCGCCTTTAGAAACACTTCTGGCTTTCGAAAGCCCCCTTCTGAAATCTTTTCAAACCCCCCAAAACCCAAAACCCCTACACGCCCTGAACCCCAAACCCTATATTCCCTAAACCCCCAACCCCGAACCTCTAAACCCCTAAACCCTAAACCCTAAACCCTAGACCCTAAACCCTAAACCCTAAACCCTAAACCCTAAACCCTAAACCCTAAACCCTAAACCCTAAACCCTAAACCCTAAACCCTGCCCTAGAAGCCCTTGAACCAGGTCACAGAGTCTGTAGCCGATCCAGCGCTAATCTGACTCGGCATTTGCCCACTTGCAAAGTACTCCAGCGATCCGGTGTCGATCACGTACACCTGGGTTTAGGGTTTAGGGTGCACGGTTCTAAGTTAGGGCCCAATTTTGGGGTCCTATATATGTAGTGCCACCCTGAAAAGAAACCCCCCCCCCAAAAAAAAAGGGAGGCAAGATGGGTTGAGGGGTTTGTGGGTTTGGGGCTTACGGGTTGTTTCGGGTTTAGGGCCTGAAGGGTTTGGGCTTGGGGCCTTAAGGGTGTGGAGCGTTTAAAAACTGGTCTTTAGGGCTTGGGTAGCTCTGGGGGACTTTTCGAAGGCCTAGGCCATAACCCCTAAAACGGGACCCTAGTTGTGGGAAGCCCTCACTTCAGACAGGAGGATGGTCAAATCTAGTTGCCTGGTGTTTAGGGTTTAGTGATTAGGGAGTTGGGGGTGTAGGGTTTAGCAGAGTTGGGGGTTTAGGGTTTGGGCGGTCGTTCGCCCATTCGAAAATCCAGCTCTGTAGCTTTACTTTGGGTCATGTACTCAGCCGGAGTTGTTCCGAGACTTCCGATTTCGCCCGGCCGGTGCTTGTTTTAAACGGGGCCCAGTTTCCTAAAGCCTAAACCCTATGTGCGAAAACCTACTCCCTTAAACCCTAAACCCTTAAACCCTTAAACTCTTACCCCCTGAACCCCCTTATGTAAACCCATATTATAAACCCTTATATACTCCTCCCTTAAACCCTAAACCCTTAAACCCCTAACCCTTGAAACCCTTAAACCCTAAACTCTTGAACCCTCGACCCTGGCTGGTAGCTGTGGTCATACAGCCCTACTTTGCCCACGAACCCTAACCCATAAACCTCTAAACCCTAAATCCTAAACCCTAAACCCTAAACACCATTACCCCTAAACCCTAAACCCTAAACCCTAAACCCTAAACCTCAAGCCCTGGAAACTCTGAGCCCCTTGAACCCAATAAGAGAAGATATAAGTCCCAAAGGCCTACCTAACCCATAAACCTCTAAACCCTAAATCCTAAACCCTAAACACCATTACCCCTAAACCCTAAACCCTAAACCCTAAACCCTAAACCCTAAACCCTAAACCCTAAACCCTAAACCCTAAACCCTAAACCAGAGGTCTTCGAATCTTGGCGTCTGCTGCTTCTGCTGGCGGCGGCGGGGCTTGGGCTTGGGCGTAGTGGCCGCATTGTCATTTGCATCCCTAAACCCCAAAACCCAAAACCCAAAACCCTAAACCCTAAACCCCAAGCCCTGGAAACTCTGAGTCCCTTGAACCCAATAAGAGAAGATATAAGTCCCAAAGGCCTACCTAACCCATAAACCTCTAAACCCTAAATCCTAAACCCTAAACCCTAAACACCCTTACCCCTAAACCCTAAACCCTAAACCTAAACCCTAAACCCTAAACCCTAAACCCTAAACCAAAGGTCTTCGAATCTTGGCGTCTGCTGCTTCTGCTGGCGGCGGCGGGGCTTGGGCTTGGGCTTGGGCGTAGTGGCCGCATTGTCATTTGCATCCCTAAACCCTAAACCCTAAACCCTAAACCCTAAACATTGGTATTGGCGCCATTGGCGCCATTGGCATTGGCCACGTTGGCCGCCGCTTTGGCAAGTTGGCGGCGCCGCTTGGATGCTGGAGGGCCAGGCGCATCGGCTTCGTGGGGAGAGATTTGGGTTTAGGGTTTAGGGTTTAGTGTTTAGGGTTTAGGGCTTAGGGCTTAGGGCTTAGGGTTTAGGGTTTAGGGTTTAGGGTTTAGGGTTTAGGGTTTAGGGTTTCGGGTATCGGGTTTAGGAACCCTAAGCCTTGTCAGCCCCACACCCTCAGTCTTATGCGTAAACCTCAACCTAAACCCTACACCCTAAACCCTAAAACCCAGGGTTTTGGGGCTTCAGGTCTTGGAGGTTCGCCTCCAAGCAGTCGCGGCCCGGCATGAAGACGTCTTGACCCAGCATTGAGACATGCTCCTGCCCAGTGGTTTCCATGCAGCTGTGTGGGGTCTAATCTGAGCATCTGTTTAATTAATCCCCCCCACATTTAAAGAGATATTTTTCGGCCGGAAGCCTGGAGGAAGACTACCTTCCATTAGGGTGGATTTCGTATGGGGCAAACCCACCACATTTAAAGAAATTATTTTGGGGGGGCGTTCAAACATCTGTCGGCTTCTTGTTTTGCTTGCGGAGATTCGAAGCTACAGTAGCTCAAGGATCTCCAGCCTATTGTTGTTAATAGAGAATCAATGCATGGCCATGGTCCAATCATTGCGGAACGCTGCCTTCCTTATTGCGGTGGGGGGGGGGGGGGGGGGGGACCCCCCCAATTGAACAGATGCTCGGATTAGGGTTTACGGCTAGGGTTTAGCGCTTCGGGCTGAGGATCTAGGGTTTAAGGTTGTACTGTTCAGGGCATGGATTTTGGCACTAAACTGCGTAGCCCCGACCCTAGATCGACGACCCCAAGCCATTGAACCAGTCCCTCGGCACTCAAGCTTCAGGGTTTAGGGCTTCGGAGTTTCCCTGTTACTACTGAACTGGGCTCCACAGTGTCCAAGAGAGCGACAATTCTAGATGGGGTCTTTTTTGGTTGAGGGCTTCAAGCGTTTAGGGGTGGGCCATCAGGGTTGAGGACTTGCAGGGTTTAGGGGTGGGCCATCCCTGGAGGTATAGGTCATACTGCTAGTAATCGGTCCCCTGAAGCTATGGAAGGTTCGTTCCCTTTTGTGTGGTGTGAACAATGGGGCTGAAGCCTGCAATCTTAGCCTGAGTTTGGAAAACCCACTCTTTGAAGCAGTGCCCCTGTCTTGGCAACCTAAATATGCAGCATGCTGCAGTATGACGGTGGCACAAACTGGTCCTGAGCATCTACAGGTTAAACCCGAAACCCGACACCCTGAACCCTAAACCCTAACCCTACAAGGGACCTCCGACCCCCTTCAAAAACAAAAATGCCCTGTGCCTTCATACCATGGTGGCACACGGTGAGGAGGAATTGCGCGTCTTCCTTGTGGCCCCACCTGTGTTGCGCATGCATGTTGGGATGCTCCCCCTTATACTAGCAGTCCCCCAATTATCATCCCTATTAAGGACTGTTAGAATAATGTAGATGTATGTGTATGCGTGCACGTAAACGTCCATGGACAAGTGCATACAGCATATACTAACAAACAAACAAACAAGCAAGCAAACATGCAAGCAAACAAACAAACATGCATACATACATACAAACAGAATGTATACCAGCAATAATCAGCGTACACATATGCATGTACATATACAGGTATATAGAGATATGAATATAGTACGTAGACAGAAATAAACAGATATAAACCAGTGCACACACAATCTACATGAAAATACACATATACATGTACATATACACACACATATATATATATATAGAGGTGTGTGCATACGTATGTATGTTCTGGCATAGAATAACCCTCGGAAACTCTACAGCATGTTGTTGCACAGTCTTCGTTTATCCTGCATCTACTCTATAAGCGATCACCCTCGTGAGTTTGCACAACAACCGCACCAAAAGCCTAACTCCACAGACCTTGAAAGCCCAAGGCTTAGGGTTTAGGCTTTAGGGTTTAGGGCTTAGGGCGAACCCCAAAACCTGAGCCTCCGAACCGTAACGTTTAAACCGTCCTCTGCCAGCCTGGGCCAGATGCCCACCTTCGTCAGCGAGTTCATGAACATCTCCCGGTGAAGTTGAACTTTGAACCCTCGGGGGCGCGCCCAGGCGTTTGGGGTGGTGCGCTGGAAGGCTGCAGCAAAAAGAAGACCTTTGGGCTGCTTGATTTTCGGCAAGGTCAGAAGCCGAAACCCTAAACCCAGCTTCCTCGACTTCCAAAGACCCCTTCGCACAAAGCCTACATACTCTTCATGTGTGGTTTGGGGTTTAGGGTTTAGGGTTTAGGTTTCTTATTGCGGGTCTGAGTCTAGGTCAGCTCCACAGCCCACGACAACAAGTATCATGAGGAACCAGGGAGGGAGGGGGTGTCAAGGCCCCCATGTGCCCCAACAAGGCTTTGATAAGCCCAAAGAAGCCGTTTACAATCCTTGAGAAGCTAAGCGATAAAATCCTAAGCCCTAAACCCCAAACCCTATCACCCTATAGCCCTACAACCCTACAACCCGATGACCCTAAACCCGATGACCCTAAACCCTAAACCCTAAACCCTAAACCCTAAACCCTAGACCCTAAACCCTAAACCCTGAACCCTAAACCCTAAACCCTAAACCCCAAACCCGAAACCCTAAACCCTAAACCCTAAACCCAAGCCATTCGGGGGTCCAGCAGCTCTCCGGGATGGTCTTGACCAGCTGCACTTGATGCTCGAGCTTTCCTGAGTCACAAGGCCAATGGCATCGGTTTAGGGTTTGGGGTTTGGGGTTTAGGGTTTGGAATTTAGGCTTGAGGGGTTTGGGGTTTGGGGCTTGGGGTTGAGAGTTGAGGGTTGAGGCTTGAGGGTTCAGGGTTTTAAAGTTGGTTGTAGCTTTTTTTGCTGTTTGGGGTTTAAGGTTTCAAGGGAACACCCAGAATTTACAGTCACCAATACTTACAAGGACTAAGGCTTGGGAGGTAGGGCTTGAGGATAGATCTCAGTCGTACTTTCCCAATGCCCAGGGACTTAATTGGGCACTGGGCCCCAAAAAACCCCATAACTTCTAAGTCAAAATACCCTGAAGCCCACAACCACAACAACAACACCCCAACACCGCAGTGCTCTATACATGCACCTGGCAGTTGAAAGGATTGCCCTCCATGGCCAGCACTACGTGCTGGAGATGTCTGAGCCACGTGGGGGAACTAAGCCAGCCCACCACAATCTCTTCCTCATCTCATGCACTGTAACTTTGCACTTTTAAGTGGGGATACCTCCCAGGTGTATCACGGGCAGGTAAACAGATGACCTCACCAGGTTTGCATCGCCCACCCATGGGTTCAGGGTAGGTCGGTCCAAATGCCAACTGAAGGTGAAATGTGGCTGGCAAAGTGTATGGAAATGGTTCAAGATTCCTAGTTCAAGCTTATTCAACTTTACCCGAAACCGTAAAGCTACAGCCCGAAACTCCCAACATTAAACACTCGCCAAACCCTCAACCCTAAACATCCCAGAACGCTCAACCCTAAACATCCCAAAGCCCACAAACCATAGACATCCCTAAGCCCTAAAAAGCCTATACAACCCCAAACCCTAGGCCCTACATAGGCGCTGAACCCAAAACCCTAAGCCCTACACGCTAAACGCCAAACCCGAAACCCTAAGCCCCAAACCCTAAACCGTAAACCCTAGACTCAACAAACCCCAACAGAGCAAACCCTGAATAGAAAGGGAGCTCACCAGGTTCAGGTGCTGAGGGCTTTAAGGCCCCTGAGCTCTTAACCCCAAACAAGGGTTTAGGGTTTAGGGTTTAGGGTGCCGGGTTTAGGGCGTACCCTAAACCAATCCCCCACACGTCGTGCAGACCAGCGACGGACCTCAAAGAGTCCCTCCTTTGCCAGGACGCCCTGGACTTTGCCTTACGCGCTTGATTTTCAGGTTTTGGTTGTAGGGCCTGGGCTTTAGGGTTGAGGCTTGACAATTTGTTCTCATGAAACAGATGCAAAATAAAAAAGCTTTTAGCTTACAAGGGGGTTCCGGTTTAGGCCTGAGGTTTAGGATTTGGGGCGTGGGGCTTAAAGGAGATAGGAGCGTGGGGGGAGTGGCCCTTCAGCACCGGTCAGGGCTCAGGGGCTTACCTCGTTAGCGTACAGTCAAGCAAAGCCTGCTGCAACCTCAGGGCGGTCCCCTAAACCCCCCCCTAGAGCCCTGAAGTTGAAACTTTAGGGTAGTTGCATGGTCCCTTTTTTGGTGGGAGATTAGCTGGGAGACTTATATACCCTTGTATTCCCTATGAAGCCCAAAACCCCATACTTCAGAAACCGTTCAAAGAAGGAAAGGGACCACATTCGTGGGACCATGAAATGTTCCCTTACATTGCTCAGGGTTGAGAGAAGTTTCGGGCCCTGGGGCTGTTTGAGGGATAAGGGCCTTTGGGCCTGAGCGGGGAAGTCCCTTGAAGAACGAAACGGGTGCCTAAACCCCAAATCTTAACCCCTAAACCCTAAACCCTAAACCCTAAACCCTAAACCCTAAACCCTAAACCCTAAACTAAAGCCTACGAACAAAAACAGCTCATTCTAAACCCGCATCTTGGCGTCAGGCTCCGGGCTTCCGGGGCTTGTGGTGGGAGCCCGCTAGCTTGGATGATGCCCCAGAAGAGGGGGTTTAGGGCTTTGGGGTGTAGGGCTTTTGGGGTGTAGGGCTTTTGGGGTGTAGGGCTTTTGGGGTGTAGGGTTTAGAACCCCTGAACTCCAAATCCTGGACTTTTATCACCTTGCAGGCGCGGCACCAAAGAGTTCGACGGAGAGGTTTCCTCAGTGTCTAGGAAATGCAAAGGCGATGGGGCAGAACATAGGCCCTAAGCCCTAAACCCTAAACATTCGGTCAATCCAAAAAGTTTTTCCGGAATGACAGAAGAGGAGTAGAGCAGGGAGGAAGGGACGGGGATGGAAAGGAGTAAAGCGGGAAGTGAAAAGCTCTTCCATCAGACTCTCTCCACCCTGAAACCAAGGCTACCCGTGAGACTGCCAGGCGTCGGTCCATGAAGAACTGCCGAAGATCAGCCTGAGCAAGGGCTTAGGGTTTAATGGTGAGAGCCTGAGACCCTGATTTATCGTAGTTCTTACTAGTCAGTAAATAGTTCTGAATCGGGAATGTGGGAAGTTATAAGAGTAGTTCTCCAAATTAGGGGTCCCTTGTTGTTGAGTACGGGACCCTGATTTAGAGAACCACCCATATAGCGGCCCACTAAGAAGACTCTCATGGACCTGCCACTTGAAGGGCTTGGGGCTTAGGGTTCAGTTAGGACTTAGGGCTTAGGGCTTAGGGCTTAGGGCTTAGGGCTTAGGGCTCAGGGCTCAGGGCTTAGGGCTTAGGGTTTAGGTTTTAGGGTTTAATTCGGGTTTAGGGTTTAGGGTTTAGGGTTTAGGGTTTAGGGTTTAGGGTTAGGGTTCATGGGAGCTAAACCCTACACACTGGTCCCGAAACCCCAAAAACCCCTAAATCCTAAACCCCACACCGCAGGATCCGCCCCGCGCTCATCGCTGTTACTCATTTGGGCTAGGGTATATATATATATATATATATATATATGGGGCTCGGGGCTTGGGGGCCCTGGTTAGATTACGAGTACAGATGTCCTGGGGTTATATACGGTTGCGAAGGATTTCGTGCCCACACAACTTGAAACTTCTTCCAAGCCAGCCCCAGTAACATCCGCCTCTGCATGATTTATCTGCCTGAACTCCGATAAAGTTCAAACCCTCAAGCCCCAAACCAGAGGTATGGGGTTTTGACCGGGGTCAGTACGGCATCTCCCTAAACCCTAAACCCCAAACCCCCTAAACCCTAAACACTACCCCCTAAACCCCCTAAACCCCCTAAACCCCCCAAACCCCCCAAACCCCCCAAACCCCCCAAACCCCCCAAACCCCCCAAGCCCCCAAAGCCCCCAAAGCCCCCAAAGCCCCAAAGCCCCCAAACCCCCAAAACCCCCAAAACCCCCAACCCCCTAAACCCCTAAACTAAACCCCCTAAACCCCCTACCCCCTAAACCCCCTACCCCCTAAACCCCCTAACCCCTAAACCCCCTAAACCCCCTAAACCCCCTAAACCCCCTAAACCCCCCCTAAACCCCTAAACCCCCTAAACCCCAAACCCCCTAAACCCCCTAAACCCCCTAACCCCCTAAACCCCCTAAACCCCCTAAACCCCCTAAACCCCCTAAACCCCCTAAACCCCCTAAACCCCCTAAACCCCCTAAACCCCCTAAACCCCCTAAACCCCCTAAACCCCCTAAACCCCCTAAACCCCCTAAACCCCCTAAACCCCCTAAACCCTAAACCCCAGGCCTTTTGCTTGATCTCCTCGGCCCGGGCCAAGCGCATGGAGTTCACCGTGGAGCTGATCGAGGCGATGAAGGAAGAGAAGATGCCTTTCAGGGGTTTAGGGTTTAGGGTTTAGGGTTTAGGGTTTAGGGCTTTAGGGCTTTAGGGCTTCAGGGTTTAGGGTTTAGGGCTTTAGGCTTTCGGGTTCAGGGTTTAGGGGTGCAGGGTATCGGGTGTTAGAGGGTATAGGAGGTTTAGAGGGTAGAGGGCTTAGGAGTTTAGGGCCCGTAAACCCTTAACCCCAGACCCTCGACCCTGGACCCTTAGCGCTAAACCCTAACTAGAACCGCTTGATAAGCCAGGGAACCCATGGCCAGAAGGATCACCCAGATGGCGAAGAACCGCTCATAAGCGTTGTCCTGCCCAAGATGTCTTATAAGGTAGTAGCCCGAAACCCTAAACCCCAAACAAGGGGCCTACAAGGGTTCTGAAGGTTTTGAAGGTGGGGGTGGAGTGGGGAGGTACCCCGGCAGCTGTTGGATGGAGGCCCGACCCGCGCCACGCGTTCTCAAGGACCAGTGACGGAGATGTAGAAGACTTTAGCAGCTGGGGAGAAGGAGGGTTTGAGGTTTCGGGCTAATCTAAGTGGTTGGAGGTGATTTGGCGATAGAGCTTAGAGATCCTCAGCCCTATAGGGTGTAGAGCAATTGCGGCTATGAGCCAGAACGGTTTAAGGTTTTGAGTTGGGAGCCCTAGTGAGGTTGAGGGTTTGAGGGTTGAATCAAGGAGGTCATCAGCGTTTAGGGCTGGGGCTTGAGGGCGTTAGGGGCCTGAACCTTGAGCCGCCTTATCGTGAGGATTCCCACCCCTAAGCCCTAAACCCTAAACCCTATAAACCCCCAAAGGCGTCCGGCGCAATGTTGTTCGTGGAGGGCGTGAACTGCGTCAGAGCCCAGTGCATGGCGCTCACCTTAAAGCCACTCCGGCTTAGGGTTTAGGGTTTAGGGTTTAGGGTTTAGGGTTTATAGGGTTGAGGGTTGAGGGTGGAGGGTTTAGGGTTTAGGGTTAGATACCCTACGGCCCACACCTCAACGAGCAACCGAAGAGTGCTGTTTTGGGGCCTGAGGCGCTTAACCCAGGACCTGATCCCAATACCCCTACCCCCTAAACCCTAAACCCAAAAACCCTAAGAACCTTTAAAACCTTAAAAACCCTAAAAGCCCTAACACCCCTAAGAACCCCCCCCCCCCCCCCCAAACCTTAAACCCCAAATCTTCCCTACCCGGACACCCAGGCAACCTCCCAAACTGCAACCCACACAGCCTAAAGACCCTAAAAACCCTAAATCCTGGAACCCCTAACCCTAAACCCTAAACCCCAAACCCTAAACCCTAAATCCTAGAACCCCTAACCCTAAACCCCAAACACCCAGCCACCTCCCCAAATGCAATACACACAGCCGCGACGCATAGGAGTCGAGGAAGTCAGACTGCCTGGGATGCGCAGACGAGTCTATCCGGTTTCGGGGTTTAGGGGGTTTAGGGCTTGGGTTTAGGGTTTAGGGTTTAGGGTTTAGGGCTTGGGGTTTAGGGTTTAGGGTTTAGGGTTTAGGGTTTAGGGTTTAGGGTTTAGGGTTTAGGGTTTAGGGTTTAGGGCTTGGGGTTTAGGGTTTCGGGATTCTAGGGTTTAGGGTTTAGGGCTACTACCCTTAAGGCATGGTTTTGGTTTTCCAGGGTTCAGGATTTACAGGTTTAGGGTTTAGGGTTGAGGGTTGAGGGTTTAGGAGATTTGCTTTCGGGTCGTCTGCCCTTATCATGGTCGGAGGGCATGGAGGGGTTTGCGACAGACAGGGGTGCCCTCTTTGGGGGTTTAGGGTTTAGGGTTTAGGGTTTAGGGTTTAGGGTTTAGGGTTTAGGGTTTAGGGTTCAGGGCCTATACGAAGGATGTTACGTGTTTTGGGCTATATGTGGGAGCCACCCATATTGCAACGACAAGGACCAGGTGATTCTGAAAGAAGCGTCGAAATCTTCCAGTGGGAGCGCAGGGGGTTGCAAGAGAGCTAAAAGGGGTTCGGAGAGTTTGGAGGGTTTAGAGACGGTCCCTAAACCCTAAACCCTAAACCGTAAACCCTAAACCCTAAACCCTAAACCCAAGCAAGGGTTGTAGGCTTCAGAGAGCTTAGGGGCGACCTCAAGTGCGACTCAGGAGCTCGATCTCCAGGCGCTGGAGCCAGTTGCGCTCCCCGCTCCAGATGCCAATGCCGTACCAGCAGCACCTCTGCCCACGCTTAGGCTCTTAAACTTAGGGCTTGGGGTTTGGGGGGTTTAGGGTTTAGGGTTTAGGGTTTAATTAGGGTTTAGGGTTTAGGGTTTAGGGTTTAGGGCGTCAGGACTGAAGGGGTTTAGGGTTTCATTCTCTAGGGCTCGCGGGCTTCCGGGCTGCACGGGTTTGAGGGTTTAAGGCCCTCTTATAAGGGTTGAAGTATCCAGCCTCGGCTCGCAGATCCCCAGAAGAAGATCCTCAACCTTAAGCCCCAAACCCTAAACCCGTAACCCTAAACCCTAAGCCCTAAACCCTAAAAGCCTACAGGAGGCCCCTCTTGAGGCTGAATGAGAGGTTTGGGCTGAGCTCGGGACACTAAACCGCAAACCCAAAACCCGGTTTTAGGGTCTTTTTGGGGGGCTCAGGGGCGTGGGGGAGCAGCAGTGTAGGGCCCAGGCGCCCGCCCTGGCCCTTCATGCAAGGCAATTTGCGCACTTAGGGCTGTCCATCAAAGAAACTGCAGGTTTGGGGTCGAGGGCTTTTATAGAATGAAACCGTCAAACCCTAAATGATAAAGCCCTATAGCCCTGGCAGCCCTGAAGCCCTAAACCCGGAAATGTTGAACGCGAAAAACCTCAACCCCAAACCTGAAATCCTAAAGCCTAAGCCCTGAAACCCTAAGCCTGAACCTTAAACCCTCAACCCCCAGATGTAGAGGTGCCAGGGCCGCACCGCCCATCCCGGCTAAAGCAGATCAGCGACGCGGTCACGTGGTTGACAGCAAGAAGGAGCAGCAAATAGCCCATGACTTTCCTGGGGTTTAGGGTCTTTTGGATTTAGGGTCTTAGGGTATAGGGTTTTAAGGGGGTGAGGGTTGTAGGGTTTTAGGGGTTTAGGGTATAGGGCTTTAAGAGGGCAAAGGTTTTAGGATTGTAAGGGTCTTGGGGCTTTTTTGGGGTTATAGGGGCTTTAGAGGCTCTAAGGGGTTTAGGGGTTCTAGGGGTTTTAGAGGGTTTTACGGGTTTAGGTTGCAAATGGAGCTGGTTACAAGGCTGGAGGATCCTGGGGTCTTGGGTTCAGGGTTTCAGGCTTTGGGTCGGGGTTTAGGGTTTAGGGTTTAGGGTTTAGGGTTTAGGGTTTAGGGTTTAGGGTTTAGGGTTTAGGGTTTAGGGTTTAGGGTTTAGGGTTTAGGGTTAGGGTTTAGGGTTTAGCTAGGGTTCAAGTCTTGGGTTGGGTGTTGGGTCTACACCCCTTCGGAGAGCTAGGGCTTGAGATTCGAAGTTCAGTGTGCAGGGCTGCCCAAGGCCTAAACCTCCTCGTGTCCCCTTTGCTACAAGAACGTCAGCCTAAACCTTAGACCCTAAACCCTAAACCCTAAACCCTAAACCCTATACCCTAAACCCTAAACCCTAAACCCTATGTCATCACATGTGCTCCCCAAGTTGAAGGCGCGCCTGAAGCCATGAGATATCGTGAGTAGAAGCCAGAATTGTCAAACGCGGAAGGCAGGGTTTAGGGTTTAGGGTTTGGGGTTTAGGGTTTAGGGGGTTTAGGGGGTGTAGGGTTTAGGGTCAAGGCCAAGGGACACCACCATGAAGGAGTAGGTGGAGAGGAAGCGGTTCGCCTCATCTAAAGCCGTGGCCCGTCAACAGTCGAACCCAAGAAAAAAAGCTCTAAGGCCTAAAACCTAAACCTAAACCCTAAATCCTCATATGCAACTTGGACGTCGCCTTTGGACTCTAACCCTAACACCTTTGCAAACTTCAGATCTCCGAAACCACCTAGACCTCCCACGGTTTTTCCTTAGTGTTGAGGGGGGGCACCCATGTTAACATAAGAATAAGAACATCAGTTATCCACAAAAAAGGAACTACAACTAGAGGTCTGGGCAGATACTCTGAGGGAGAGAGCCAATTGCAGACCCTTTGCTGGAGCGATGGGCAGTCCCCCGAGACTACGTACATCTCACAAAAAGAAATAATCCCCTGTACCCTCAAGTCCGACGCTTAAACCCAAAAACCCTAAACCAACCCACGCCCCGAAACCCTGCAGCTCCTAAGAACCTACGCCCTCACTAGCTTCTAGTACCCCCTATTGTAATCCCCACTGAGGACTGTTAGTAGAAGGAGGAGCAACCCCCAGCTACAGCCTAGAAGCCCCATTCTGAACCACAAATACAGTAATAATCCCCTGTACTCTCAAGCCTAAAGCTTAAATCCAAAAAGCCCTAAACTAACCCACGCACATAACCCCCTACAACTCCTAAGAACCTAAGCCCTAGTACGCCCTACTATTATCCCCATTAAGGACTGTTAGTAGAAGGGGAAACATCCTAAGCTACAGCCTAGAGCCCCCAAGTAGCTTCACAACCTAAGCCCATTAGGGGTACCTTATTGGGGTCCTGATTACAAGGGAATCCCTACTATTTGGGGGGAGTCTACTTTAGGGGTCCCCCTATCATCGCAAACCCCCCAAAATAGCTTCGCACGCCGCCGGGGCACCAGCAGCGTGAAGGTCCTCTCCAGGCGCGCCACGCGGATGAGCCGCACGAGGCGCACCATGCGGAGGGCGCGCAGCAGCCTGGCCTGGGCATGTCGGGCATTTATAGGATTTATATAGAGGTTGAGGGAGGTTTAGGGTTTAGGGTTTAGGGTTTAGGGTTTAGGGTTCAGGGTTTAGGGTTTAGGGTTTAGGGTTTAGGGTTTAGGTTCAAGGTATACCGCAATTGGGCCAAAGCCCCCAAACGCGAGAAGTTTTCGATTCTGGAACCGATTTTTTGTGGGTTGGTGTCTACGTCTAAAGCCCGCCAGCCCAAGCACTCAGCTGCGACCACCACCTCTGCGAGAGGTTGCACATTGTGTTGTCGCCTCCACGCAGGGCGTCTCCAAAGCTGCTGGGCGTGCAGGAAGCAGAAGAAGCCGGGGACCGCCGGCGCAGCCTTTTCGGATCATTTTGAAGACCTCCAGGTGTACCCTAAACCCTAAACCCTAAACCCTAAACCCTAAACCCTAAACCCTAAACCCTAAACCCTAAACCCTAAACCCTAAACCAGCAAGATCACGAAGGCTGACCTAAGCTTCGTCTCGGCGTGCATTCGGTATTCAAATCCGAAAGATCTACAGGGTGGGGCCCCCTAGTTATAAGTAGAGTTATAAGGGCCCTAAAATGGGTTATAAGGACCCTAAGTTAGGTTATAAGTCCCTTAAGTACAGTTAGTATAGTAAGGGGGCCCCACCCTGTATCAGTAGAGTACGAATACACTTCTGCTGGCGTTCCAACACGCAATCAGCACCCGGTCACTCGGCCGCCTCATGTGCTCCCGCTCCAGATGCTTTTTCGACCTGTATTCCCACCACTCACTCCCTCCACCAACGCCTGTGCTGCCCGACGCGTCAGAGGCCCTTTTGGCATGGTTTAGGGTTTAGGGTTTAGGGTTTAGGGTTTAGGGTTTAGGGTTTAGGGTTTAGGGTTTAGGGTTTAGGGTTTAGGGTTTAGGGTTTAGGGTTTAGGGCTTAGGGCTTAGGGTTCAGGGCTTAGGGTTTAGGGTTTGGGGTTCAGGGTTTAGGGTTTAGGAGCCAGGCAATGCCATGCCAGGTTGACTTGGCTGCACTCAGGAGGGTAGCGATAAATTAAACTTTTGGCTGCCTTACTAAGAAACCCAATAAGCCCAAAAATTCCAAGGCCCCTACCCAGCCCTGGCCTCTTTGCCAGCTACTCCCCTTAAGCCCTCTAATCCTGAACCCGAGAACCCTGGAACCCTAAACCATAAAAACCCTGAAACCCCAGAACCCTGAAACCCAAGAAATCAGAACCCCAAACCAGAAGAAGAACCCTAAAATCCTGGAACCCTACAGAACCCTAAACCCTATTTGGAATTTCAGGGCATATGAGCCAATTTCCACTGTACTCATAACCCACTTATAAGCCCCTGAAGTGTCCCAATATGGAAATCATTTGGGTTATAAGTACAAACCCAAAACCCTAAACCCTGGTTGCGAAGTACCATGAACCCTAAACCCTACAAACGTCTCAAGCCCAGCGGCGGAGCGGAACATGGGATTGGCAGCGCTTCCCGCCTGCGTCCTCTGCTGCACGAGCTTCTCAGCCGGTTTAAGGTTTAGGGTTTGAGGTTTAGGGTTAAGGGTTAAGGGTTTAGGGTCTAGGGTTCATATCGTACGGTAGTTACATGGTCCCGTACTGTGGGCCCTTGAATGTGGACTCCTTATATGCCCCTTATATACCCTGGGACAACCCTCGGTCCCTATAGCCTGTAGAGCTAAGGCCTAAGGGTGTAAGTGTTTTGAACCAGGGCTTCAGGGCTTTTAGGGAAACTTCAGGGCGTTAAGGTTCTAGGGTTCGAACAAGGATCACGCAACTACAGACCGACATGGGCATATCCCTCATAAGGGGCACCCAGAATGTACCCGAGATACTACTATCCCTTCTAGAGGATCCTCCCTCCCCCCCCCCCCTCCCCCCACAAAAAGTACCGCTAAAAGTCGGAAACCCCCAACTGCGACCCAAAGGCCACTCCACCAACATCACGATGGCGTCGATGGTGACAACCAGCACGTCAACCAAGAACCTTTTCCGAGGTGTTTGGGGTTTAGGGTTTGGGGTTTAGGGTTTGGGGTTTAGGGTTTAGGGGTTGGGGTTTCGGGTTTGGGGTTTAGGGTTTAGGAGTTCGGCGTGTAGAGGGGCGCAGGGATGCTCAGGGTACAGGAGGTTACCTTTACCTTTTTGGAGGTCTGGGGACCCTTTCCAGATGCTTGTTGAGGAGCCTTCCTTGCCTGTTTGATCGACACCTTTCCAGGAGTGCTTAGAAGAAGCCTATCTTTGGAGGGTTTGAGGGAATCCTAAACACTAAACCCTAAACCCTAAACATCCCCTCAGATTCATAAGGGTCTCCCCCTAAGACCGCATATTAGACCCTAAATCGTGGGTCTACTGTGCGCAGCTGGAGGCCCCCACCGTTGCCACAACGGTGGCATATTAGACCCTGCAGGTTTTGTGGTCGGGGGGCCCGAAGCCCTAAACCTTGGAACCCTAAACCTACCTGGAACTTGAACCCTAAAAAGTAAAACCTAAAACCGCAAATCCTAAGCCCTAAGCCCTATCCCCTAAACATCCCTAAACTCTAAACCCTTAAACACTAATTAAACCTAAACCCTGAACCCAAAACCCTAAACCCTTAAGCCAATCCCGAAACCCTAAACCACGCACCCGAAACCCCAAACCCTAAACCCTCCAGGATGCATGAGAATCCCACACGGTCACGCCACTTCTTTTCTCGGATCCGCTCTACCCGGTCTGATTGCCCCCAAGTCCCCCCCCCGCGAACAGCACTGTACATAGCTGTGCCCCGCATCCCCTATCTGTTCCATTGTGGTGCTGTGAAATTGCCTGGGGCAGTGCGTCACAAAGTGTTCTGGGCATTTTCATGGCAGATCTATGCCAGCTCTTTCAGGGCGGCACTTATTGCTCTGCATCGCTCTCACAGCACAGGCAACGTAGGCATTTTCACAACAATGGGGGATTGCCCCGCCCGAGTGACCTTGAGTGGTCACTCGCCCCGTGCGATCTTGAAAGCGCGACAGCATCACTCCTGAGAATCCTCTGCATCGCCTCAGATCAGCAAAACACAAAGCCTGCTGCGAAATGGTGTCATGGTTGTGCTCGAAGGAAGGGATACTACGAGACCCAAAAAACAGACCAAGACATGCAGAGTCGGCACTGTGGCTTGCCGGCTTCTGCTCCGAAGGCTTGGCCACGTACTCGACCATTTCGCGCAGGAGATCTCGGAAAGGCTTCTGATCGTTCTCCTCTTCCAATTTGGCGAGGCACTTGCTGAGCCAGCTGTGCACCTGCAGTCGCGAGGGACACAGGTCTGGAAAAGCCTCCCGATCCAGGCTCTAGACTCCAGACAACATGCTGTGATGTCGCTACCCTTTTTTATTTGTGGGCTTCAGAAATTCAGGCCACTCCAGCCGGACTCCCCCCACCACCCGGAACACTCCTCTTCCCGAGACCCGAAACACCGCTCCACGGCCGAGGCGCCGTCACTGCGTAAGTTGCTCGGCATTTGGTCCTCCAGAAATACGCAGAGAAGTTGGGGGCTTCCTCCACTGCTTTGGCCTTCGAGAGAGACATGCCGTGGCCCAGTCGCAAAGCTCCCGTACTCTTGTCCCATATAGGGTTCTTGGGGTTGAGGAGGACGTCTTGTTCCAGGAGCTTCTCCATGAATTTCCTCATCAGCGCGGCTCCCCGTTTTGCTCGTGTGAACAGGGCTGTCTCGCTGAGCCGATCTGGCTTCTTGGCACTCTTTTTCTTGGGCTCTTCTTTCGCGAGTTTGCGGAACACCTGTTTGGGCGGAAGCGGACGGGGTTTCAGGAGGACTTCGGGTGCTGTTTTCGGCTCCTAAATCCCCTCAAAAGCAAACCCGTCTTGTGCTCTTAGAGATTGTTTTTGGCTCCAAACCCATAAAACCCTGGGGCTCCGGGTCTGCCTGATTCATACACTTTCCAATGAGTGCTGCAAAAGCACATTTCGCAATGTGTGCATAATATGCATACTTTATGGGAATCCATGGTTATCGCCGACCATGTTTATCAGAAAATATGGGAATGGTAGTAGTAGTAGTAGTAGTAGTAGTAGTAGTAGTAGTAGTAGTAGTAGTAGTAGTAGTAGTAGTAGTAGTAGTAGTAGTAGTAGTAGTAGTAGTAGTAGTAGTAGTGTAGTAGTAGTAGTAGTAGTAGTAGTAGTAGTAGTAGTAGTAGTAGTAGTAGTAGGTAGTAGAAGTAGAAGTAGTAGTACTAGTAGTAGAAGTAGTAGTAGTAGTTAGTAGTAGTAGGTAGGTAGTAGTAGCAGGTAGTAGTAGTAGTAGTAGTAGTAGTAATAGTAGTAGTAGTAGTAGTAGTAGTAGTAGTAGTAGTAGTAGTAGTAGTAGTAGGTAGTAGTAAGTAGTAGTAGTAGTAGCAGTAGCAGTAGCAGTAGTAGTAATAGTAGTAGTAGTAGTAGTAGTAGTAGTAGTAGTAGTAGTAGTAGTAGTAGTAGTAGCAGCAGCAGCGCTGGAAAAAACTGTTGATAAACAACCCCCACAGGCTGAGCTGTTGAGGGATGCTGCGGTCGCATGATCAATTCGCGACAGCTTCAGGGTGACAGCTCAAGCGGCTCGATGTGCCAATATTTCGATTCAGTTGCTGGTACTGGGAAGAACCATGGCTTTGTAAGTGTTTATACAGGTTAGAAGTACATTATTAAACAGCATACAAACCGGTTGTATGTATATTGCAAATCACTTATAAGTGTGATAAACAAATACAACTGTTAAGAGGATTAGCTAAGTGTTTACATAAGTGGTGTAATGTTTAACTTAAACATTTACAAAGGTTAGGGGGTTTAGCTAAACTTTAGCTAAGTTAACATAACTTGTTGAAGTAGAATTCTTATACAGGGAAATGGCTATGTTATACACGTATATGACACTATAAACAAGGGTGCATGGTTTGGGTATGAAGGGTGTTTCGGGCTCATGCAGGGGGGGGGGGGGGGCAGGGCGGACAATGAATGCATCCTCTTGGCAGTCGTAGAGAGAGCTCGTGCTGCGCACGTACACATGGCGGCTCTAGCGGCGGCTCGGTGCACGCCCGTGCCACATGCGGCGTCGTGTCTTTGCACGCTCAGGGCTGAGTTTTTTCTCAGTTGTTGATCTTGGCATAGAACTGTGCTTTGTGTTCACACACATGCTTGTCCTTGACGTCTCGATGACTGCAGGGGAAAGTCATCCATATGCTGCTACCCCTGGTCGTGCAAGCTCAGACGCTGTGTTGCACCCCGCTGGATCGTCAAGCGTGGCTGCATCAGCCACCGATGAAATCGACGAAGTGGAGTATGATGCAGCTTGGGATTGTTCCGGTGCCTCCCCCTTGCATGCAGTTGCAGGGCCTGCCCAAGCTATCCCAAGCTTGCCGTGTGCATGATAGCAGCTCATGTGCTGAATGCAATTGCTTGTTCACGTGTGCAGCCAGAACTTTTCAGCGGGTCTAGCGCTAGCTGGTACTTCCTGCTGAGCGTGCCTTGGCTGATAAATAAATAAATATGATACGATACATACCCGAGCTCTAGATCTAGCGAAATATACACGGTGGCACGCTGTAAATGCAGTGCGTGCGCATGAGGTCCGAGCTATGGCTGCTGCTTCAGTCGACCATCGACGGGTCATGCAGAAGTTGCTCTTGGAAGCTACTAGTTTTTGATTTATTCGACCGGGTCATAGCAAAGAACAGATGGAATCGTAGATTCTCAATCCAGAAATTTATCTAAGGACTTTCTGAACAGCTATTTGACGGTGCACCCCGACCGCCTTCCTCGTATTCGAAAGGTGCAGGCTGAATCCGGCATTGTCAAATTTGCCTTTGAAAATGGGATTGGGGCCGATGCACTTATCTTTGAATATGGGATTTGGGAGTACCCTTGAATCCAAGGCCTTATAGCAAGCCCTTTAGAGCCCCAGTCCGCGTTGAAAACCCTTTTGCCTTTGCAGGGCCGCACGATCTTGGATCTCCCAGCCGGCGGGCAGGGAGTGGACTCCACAGAGATGGTGAGACTTCTGCATTGAATTGCTTTGATGTTGGGCGCTGCAGTCTGTATTGGTTTTCGCTTAGGCAAGACGGCAAGCAACTAACTGTACATGGCCTTAAATCGTACTCACGCCCGGGTTTCGGCTTGCTTGCAGTTGGAGCGCCACTACCATTTCTACGCAGAGTATTTTGCGACCTTCGGTTCGGACATTCCCTGGGTGTCAACACACCAGGACTCCTCCCAGCACGAAATTGCTACATCAGATTTGTATGTATGTCCTGAAGCCTATAGCACACGTGCAGGAGGTCCTTATCATGCTGGCCAAGCGCTACGCCATTTGGGAGACGAAGACAAAGAAAAAAATCATCAGGGTGTCTCAGCAGCAAGTGCCCTTAACATTAATCTTAGATGACACCGAAATCAGGATATAGGGTGCCGATTTCAAGGCCAGGTAAGCTTTGAATTCTGAACTGAATCTAGCAGGAGGCCCTGGGTAGAGTTGAATGAACGCTGTATGAAGTAGTGAGCGGGGTTGAGGGTTGAGGGTTTAGGGTTTAGGAAGTAGGGGTGAGGGTTTTATGTACTGGCCATGTTTCTAAAAACCATAAACCCTAAACCATAAACCCTAACAAAGACCCAACATCAGGATTGGGCGGCTACGGAAGCATCCGTCATGCGCGCCGCGGCCGCGCACATGCTGTTCCTGGCGAAGCGTGCCAAGGGTGCTCGGACTCCAGGCTTAATTCAGAATAGATCCGAAGCCGTCGCGGCGGCATGCCTGACTGATAGATGTACCGAGGAGTGCCAAGATCGGTGCTCTGAAAGATGTCATTCGTCGAGTGATCACACAAGAAGGCCTTCTACATCTAGATGTACACTTACGCTAGGCTTCAAGCAAGTTGCCCTTGCCCTGGCAGGCCTGGGGGATCCCGACACTTGCATCGATGCTGCTCTCGATGCGT